TTTTCAATAACCGAGCCTCTGGGTAGTACCGGTAATGCACAACATCGCATCTGGACGACGAGGAGGATTAGGATGGGGACGAGGTGACGAAGATGCCCAAGTTATATAGTCTTTACCACAGCGCTGAACTGTCCTGCACTCCTGTCAAACCCTAAACCCTAAACCCTAAACCCTAAACCCTAAACCCTAAACTGTGGTCTGTTTGTCGGCCAAGCCGAACACTCGTGAGGCTAGGATGCGGTGGGCACGGTTGCCCACGACAGCCCGCTGTACAAAGCCGGTGTCTCAACATAAACGGTGGCGGCGCAGGGTCTGGGATGCTCCGAAGTGCGATTTCGCATGACCGTAAGCGTCTAAAACCTCAAAACTCTCGCAAACCTCCTAGCTCTCTAAACCTGAGGGGAATAGCTTCTAGGGCTTAGGGATGATACTGGCTTAACCCCATTAGAACACTCCAGACCTGCTGGGCCAAGTTGAGTTGCAAAACGTACAAGTACAGACATCGCGACTGGCGCCGGGCACGGTTGCCCAGCGCCATCTTCAGCATCCGTCTGTGATTGAGGACAACAAGGACTTGAGGAGATTCAGGGTTTGAGGCCCTGAACCCTAAACCCTAAGCCCTAAACCCTAAAACCTAAACCCTGAAACCTAAACATTAGGGTTTTAGGCAACCTGCATTTGCTCAAGGAAGTCCTGTCGGCAACCTGCCGCGATTGCCATGCAGAGACCTCAGAGCGTAAGGGTCATCTACCAAGTCTAAGGGCTATATTTTAACTATATTTGTGTCTATGTTATGCTATAGTATAACTATGTTATGACTATCTATCTTATGACTATATTGTACTTATATTGTAACTATAATATGACTGTATTATGACCCGAGTCTTATGACTATTATCTTGACAAACAAGTCTGAGCGAGATCACGTCGCCGTTAGCAGTGCTAGAAGATAACATTCGCACTGACGGTTGGTGTTGCCACATTGCTAGCTCGCATTGCTGTTCTTTGATGCTACGGGTACTATCACACTATTGACTAGCTGAAATCCGAGCTCAACTCATAGCACCGAGGATTCGTGCCTTTGCGCGAGTCGCGTGTGGACTGGCTCACTTCATTGAGTGGCTTGAAGCGCCGGACCTTGCACAGGAAGGTCTTCTCGACTGCAAGCAACTGCTCCACCCGAATCCAGTCCTCGCCGCCCTCATGCTGGGAGTCGTGCGGCTGGTTCAAGGAGAAACATTCCACAGCATCCTCGTGCACCTTGCACTTCAGCTTTGAAGGGAGCCGGCCCATGATCTCCTCGAGGGACGGCTTCAGGCTATCCATAATGATCAGGTGGGAGGCCTTCAACACCTTACCGAGCAACTTGTCAAGGACCTCCTGATACTGGTGAGGGCGAACGAAGATCTTCGCCCCATGGAAATCCAAACGACTTCATGCTCGTCCTCGCTTTCGGCTTCATTTTCGAACGGCTGCGGGGCAAAGGATCCGATGCACCACCCTGTCTGCCCAATCGTGCTCTTCCTGCTCGCGAAGTAGTTCAGGGTGGCGAAAAGCCGGCGGCTCGTTGTGTTCGACTACCTCTTCGACCTGCTGGTGGACGTCGGTGTGCAGTGGCCGCGCAGCATCTTCCGTCTGGATCGCGAGTAACCTTGGCGGGCCAACTGCCCAAATTTCCGGGAGAATCTGACGGAACAGGAGCCTCACCTTTCTTGCGGAGATAGCGAGTCGAAAAGCTGACCGAAGATGAGACTGCGTCGTAGCCACAGACACCCCCAAGCCGGGTCTTGGCAAGTCTCCCATCCCATCAATCCCATCCAACGTCTCCAACGCCGTGCCAGTGTTCCTAATCGTCTCAGGGATCAACTGTGGAATCTGCAGGTTTTCGGCGTTGCAAATCAAGTCATGGCCGATCTGTTCGAGGGCTTCAAGGGAACATTCAATGAGGCGGTTGTCGACGGTTGCTTGGCGTTGAACAGCTTCAGGATGGTAATGCATAGTGACAATAACAGAGCGATGATGTCTAAGATCCACCAGAGACTGTCCCGCTCGAATCGACAGCAAGCTGAGCTGTGGTTTGACACCCAAAAACTCCAGCACCAAGGACGTCATGGCTTGCCCTGGCCTACTACAAGACTCCCACTGCTGCGGTAGAACGTATCAACTGCATCTCCCCATGAGATTTTCAGTCAGCCGCCAGATCAAAAGAATTTCGTGGGCTTATAATCATTGACCTTCCCAGTCCCCCCCCCCCCCCATGAGAAATGGAGTGTTGCAAACTGAAGGGCGACAGAAATCTGAACGTCCATGCGCTGAACACCTGAGCTCCAAAGATAGTTGGGACCTCAGAGGGCACTTATATACATAAATACTACTGGCATTTATGTATACCTTAGGGGACGTTTGTATACGCATTAGTATAAGGTCCCGCAAAACCCTTGCAGTCAGCTGTCTGGAAATTCTGGAGGCGCCTTGTGCCGTCGGGGTTTAAATAGGAGGCATGCAAAGCAGTATTAGGGCTTAGGGTTTAGGGTT